TTAATATGCAGTGTGTCCTGCCATGTACCCCTTGCCTCAGCTTTGTTCTTCTGGCATGCCAGCACATCAGAATCTTACAAGGTAGACATTGTGTTTTTTTCAGCACTCCTGCCAAAAACACTGCCTACCCCTGCCTTAGGCTGCTCCCTGCCCCTCCCTAACAGAACAATTAAATCAGTATCTACATTTTATCAGAAAGACTATCCAACTAATAGATTTTGAGTTCTAAATCAAGTTGCATTGACTGTAAGGTTCTGTAAGAAAATTTACATTAGTCTTGTCTAGGATCATAGGAAAGTAGAGCCTGGAAAGGACCTCATTAGGGTATCTAGTACAGATGCCTGCTCAAGGCAGGATCACCTGGGACTAAACAATCCCAGCCAAGGGTCTGTCCAACTGGCTCCTACAAATTTCCACAACTTCTCTAGATAGCCCATTCTAATGCTTAACCATCCTCACCATCAGAAAGTTCTGCCTAATCTTCAACCAAAAATTTCTTGTGCTGCAGCTTAAGGTCATTGCTCCTAGACTTGTCCCCGTACAGACCAGATTTCTCAAGAGATAGAATGTTGCAACAAGTCATAATTTCATGCCTTTTACTTTTCTGTACAAGACCAACTTGTGCATGAATTGTTTTAGTATGCAAAAGTTTATTGCTTCAGCAGTTTGATAACTTATTCTTCACTTTGGGTGTCCACAAATTACATTAATTTTGAATTTGTAAACACAGCACATAATCTGCTTCATAAGAGACTACATCTCCATTTGAACTCTGGATGGTAATGTTATTATCCTTCAGTTCATAGTTTAAATTAAGCATCTAACTAGTCGCAGGTAAAATATTAACCTGAAACTTGTCTGCAGTCTGTAAAACAGAAAGTGCAGTACAATTTAATGTAACACCTTGTTATCTATTATATTTTATATAACAAAGACAAGTACAAAGTATCATACTTAAAAAAATGCTCAAATAGAAAACAGAGAAAAGTTAGCAAAGTGGCAATATCACACAAAGTATCTAGAGTTATAGTAGGCCATAAGGTGGATACAAGTTTGTGATGCAATCGGGGCACTTTTAAACGTGGGGGGGGGAGACAGTGCTTAAATCAGAGCAGCTCTGAGAGTAGTTTTAATTAAAGTGCTGCTGCATCTCACGTATAAGTTTCCCCGCACTTAAAAATCACCTGAACTAAAGTTTGTTCAACTAGCTTTAGTTCAAGTATCCCTGCCGCCATTTTTTAAAGAACAGGGAAGCTGATACATGATACAAGCAATTGCCATGCTCCAGCAGACTCAATTAATCGAGTCTTCTCCAACGCAGTTGAATTGCAGCGTGTCGGAGTAGCCTTGCCACTCACGTATAGGCACCCTGGGATGCTGCTGCAAAGAAGCCCTCCACTCTCTTTCTGGGATGTATTAACAGGAAGACCATATATGGAGGACACAAACCAATTATTTTGCTACTTACAGAGAACTTTCACTGGGAGCGTTGTGTATTTTGGGGATAACACACTAAGAAAGTTGTAGTCAAACTGAAGAGAGCCCATAAGAGAGCAAAAATGATATGAGGTCTCAAAAACATTATCCAGGAGAAACAGTTGAAAAAATCTTTAGTTTAGAAAACAGGACAAGGGAAAACAGGAAAAAGGTAAAAGGTTGATATGGAAGTCAGAAATAAACTGCTCATCACGTCCAAGGGCACAATAAGCGATATGCGTCTTAATTTGCAGCAAAAGGGAGATTTAGAATAGGTGTTAAAATTTTTAATTCTGTGGACAGTTAAACATTGGAATATTTAATGAGGGATCTTGTGGCATCCCCATTATTGGAAATTTCTAAGAACAGGTCAGACAAACACCTTCCAAGGATGGTCTAAGTGTAGCTGATCCCACCTCAGAACCAAGAGATGGAAAAGACCTGAACATCAGTTAGACCAACACTACGCTTGTAAGGTTCTGTTTTGCAAAAATGTCTTTCTTCAGTATTTCCACACCTTCAATATTCCTAGTTCAACAAACAGGGTGTTGGTTTCGACACTCAAGAGAATAGACTAGTAACTTGTATTTTCTTTTTATACAAAGATCACAAAGAAATGAAAATATCTTCCCTTCATTGCAAGCTTCTCAAGAAAATGAAACAATTTATGACAAAATGTTCATAATGTGGTTCCCTCAAAATTTGTTGTGTGGGAAATAATTTTCTCTCTCAAATGTGCATGTATGAGCGTTCCCTGTTTTCTCCCTCACTCCCTTAAGCTTTCCTTGCAGGATAGATCTAGCGTGCAGGTAGTTTTTTTAAAGACACCTTCTTAGGACTGTCTTTTTTGCAAACTCAGCTCTAAGTTCCTTTTGCAGCAGAGGCAGAAGGACTGTGTTTCCAAAAAGATTTCCTTTTCAAAAAGCTGCAACGTCTCATTACTTTGAGACAGGCAACCCCAGAAGTAGTTAGAAAGATGTTCTTTCAAAATAGCCAATGATTTTTATTGAGAAATCTAAGAATGAAGAAGCCTGGCTGTTCCCAAAGACAGTGGTCTAATACAGTTTGAGGAGCTGAGGGCAGCCAGACATCATTCAGGGCTCCTTTTTGCCATCTGAATGCACCCCCAAACTTCTGCTCAGCTTCTACAAGCAATGCCAAGAGAGCACACAATGCACTGTGGGTGGTGGCAGCTTGCAAAAAGAGCAGGTGCATCTACATATGCTTTCTGGTAGTCTCTCTATGGTTGCAGACACCTTTGGTTGCTTGCAGAGCACTGAATGTAGCTATCAATGTAGATGTGCATGCAGGCAGGTCTATGGGCAGAATCTGTGTTTTGCTGGCAAAACAATGTAGAGTAAGACCAGACCTCACACTGTTTATACCAGAGGAACTACTGAGGAGAGTACTAAGAACTGAGAGTTTCTCAGCATACATGACATTGTGAAAGCTGCAGAAAGTTAAGTCACGTCACGTCACTACTGTATTGCCACCTGGTTTGTGGCAGGAAATTTATCTGTTGCAACCCTTTTCTTCACTGTTCTAGAACATGGTTCGTTGTATATACATTGATATTTATAGCATTCACCCTTTCCCAAATACTCATTTCTGTTTGTAAAAAGCCTTCAGTATATGTTTTCAGCTGGTGTTTGGTGAAAATCATAGATATTAAATAAATATTTTTCCTCTAAGAAAGCATCATTTTTCTGAACTCCTGACACTTTAAAATACCCAGAAATGCATTATGAATTGTTTGGATAAAAGCGATAGTGCTGAGTAACTTTTAACGCCTTACTCAGACACTCAGGCTCAAGTCCCCAAAAATAGTACCACTGGATGAAAAGGAATAACTATCTACAGGAAAACTCATGAGTAAGGGTTTGTAATCTGGTTCCATGGTCCACTTCCAAAACAATAAATTCAATAGGATGCCTAAATAGTTAGTTTTCATATTCAATTGTTAAGATTCTTAGGAATAAGCCTTAACTGTCACAGATGATCCTGTGAGACACCTTCTCTCCAAAGCTAAAATTCTACTAACAAGTACAACCTGTTATGTGCAGCCAGAGTAACATCATTTTACAAAATAATGGTCTATTATAGATTCTTATGGCTCATCACCATTATGAAGTCCCGACAACCACCTTTAAATGTTTGTCTTGGGACAATATTGAAAGAAACGCTATTTTCAAAAGATGTTGTCTGAAAAGAGCTATAGGAACTATAGCTTTCACTAAGACCAATTTTACACTGTCCTGACCAATTCCACGCTGTCCTCAGGAACCTGCCACTGAGGTTAAGGGTAGGTCATGCCTTTCAGTTCCCCAAAAGACAGGGAACATAGATATTAATTGTATGTACTAGAAAAAGAAGATTTCGCATAGAAAAAAGGTCTTCATAATTATAATCAAATCCTTAGTTATAAACTCCTCTGCAACCAGACAAATGTTTTGTGCATTATGTGCATAGTTCAATGTTTTTTTCAACCTTTAGACTTTAAAGGCAAGATAAGCAAAGTGGCTCTGGTCTTGTAATAAATTTACAAACAAGAGGTGGTCAGACTGTTTGGGTCTCCCAATCCAAATGCTTTCCCCTTTAAAATGCTTTAATTCTGCCTGACATATCCAACAACCTTGACCAAAAGCAGAGAAATGGTTCTTTCTGGACCAGGAATCAAGACGACTGCTTTTAGCTTTCACAGGCACGCAACGTAACTTTGGGCAAAACCAAGCCATTGAATCTTCAGTTGTCCATTTGAAACATAGGGGGACTACTGCTCTCACACCAAATCAATCTCAAGTGCTACCAGTAGTCTATGAAGTTCCATGGGATAAGGACTCTCTTACATTTCAAGTGTTTGGTGCCTAATGTAAGGCGGGCTTGATCTACATTTGCGTCCACTGTTGTAGGCTAATACAAATGCTTAATTACACGACTACGTAAAAAGCCTTAAAAATCATCTTACAACACAGATTTTACTTTAAAAAATGATAAAGTTGACTGAAAGTTTCAAAATGAAAGAGGTAAGAGTCTGCTTAGCATCAAATCATGTTTTGAAAACTTCCAAATGAGAGATAACTCAGCATCACACCAGTGTCTCACATGCTGGATAGGCCAGTGAAACTTCTGGGTTATTAGTAAAAGAGTAGGATGCTACCAAAAATATTGTTTCTTCCTTTCAATAGCAAAAAAAAAACACTACACACTAGATTGCTGGCCTAGGTGATCTGACTACCAACATGCTGAGGATCTCTCCTATTTAAAAAGCAGTATTAATTGGGGCTTTTAGAGCCAGGTAATTTTGGAATTCAGCTGATCTCCCCACAAAAGATCAGCTACTCAAGAGCCAGACAAGTGATAATAAAACAGACAACTTCTCCATTTACAAACCACACCATGACAACTACCTCCCCCTCTCCCCTTCCCCAATTCTGAGGGTGGAAAAGTAGAAACACCTTCCTTACTAAACCAGTGAAGAAGTCAAAGAGACAGAGATCGATGTATGTAAATGCACTCGGGCTTACATGGTTTCTTGGCATCCTTGATCTTCATGTCTTTGTCGTGGCAGCGGCGACGGCTGCGTCCCCCGAGGCTGGCGGCTGCGAAGCGGTGCTGGCGCGGGGTGGGTCCCTCTCTCTCCTGATGGGGCGGGAAGTGTCAGCAGCGTCTCAGCGCCGCCGCTCGTCTCTCCTGATCGCGGGCTCGCGCGTGGCTGGCGAAGCGGCGCCTGGCAGGGGGCGGCGGTCTCCTCGCGGGATGGAGGCGGCTCCCAGGCCGCGTCGGGAACGTCGGTCTCCAGCCAGGGGCGGGGATGGAGGCACGAGGGCCGCGGGGAGGGGGCGGAAGCGATGTCTCCCGGCCGCAGCGGCAAGCCTAGGCTGGCCAGGGCCACGGCGGACGTCTATGAGGGCCGGGCCCGTGCGGGTAGAGGTGGCGTCGGCGGCGGAACCTCCTGCCGAGGGAGCCGAGCCCGGCGCAGGGCCCGCCTACATGCGGGGGCGCAGCCAC